GATGGGCCTCATACATATAAATCAGAGTTCACCTGGGTCTCCCGGTCTCTTGAGACTAGTACCAATTCCTGAAGCTACACCTTGGGGTAACAGAGAACTTTCTCCAATGTCTGCACAGACAGCAAGTCTTCATTCTCAGGCCCCCTCTGCTTTCACATCGTTCTCTGCAAGTCCCTCTTCACATCCTGAGGTTACCAAAGTCAACGGTAGTTTTAAAGAAAGAGGCAATGTTTGAAGGGTGTGTTTGCATGACAAGAAGGAATGCAATGTGTTTTTTTTTACATTAAAAAAATTTGTTTAATTTATTTTTATTAGTTGGAAGCTAATTACTTTAAACATGAAAAACCTCTTAAAATGTGTGCTAGCTTCCCTTCACCTCATCCCTCTCCCCTGCCAGTCCTCACAGAAAATAAGTTCACTTGGATCCCTTTTTTCTAAGTCTGTTCATTCATTTATATCTCACCCACCTCTTTTCCAATCATAAAGAAAAAGACAAAAGAATCAAAAAGTCATCAGACAATGGAGAAATAGACACAGAGAACAGTCTTAAGGACATGGGGAGAGGGGAGGGGAGGATGAGATGTATGGAGAGAGTAACATGGAAACTTACATTGCCATATGTAAAATAGACAGCAAACGGGAATTCGCTGTATGGCTCAGGAAGCTCAAACAGGGGCTCTGTATCAGCCTAGAGGGGTGGGGTGGGGAGGGAGATGGGAGGGAGGTTTAGAAAGGAGGGGATATATGTATACCTATGGCTGATTTGTGTTGAGGTTTGACAGGAAACAACAAAATTCTGTAAAGCAATTATTTTTCAATTAAAAATAAATTAATTAAAAAGTTTTTTTTAAGTCATGAGCTTTCCTCCTACTGATTAGCTCCTGATGGTGACTGGGTGCTCTGGACAGTCATGTCCTGTGATCTCACCTCCTAGCTTAAGGTGTCTACCAGGATGCTTCCTATCTCCTTTCCTCAATGGAAACCTCATCCTTGCTGTCAAAATAGTAAAAGGTCCACATTGGTGGCCCCTTTACAGTCTTCCTAGGCCAGAGCTCTTGGAGGATGCTTACTTAATTTGTCTCACTCATCTTAGGAACATCCAGCTCCTATTCTGTGTCCAACAAGCCTTCTACATATATGTGCTCTTGCAACCATCAGAGGAAAGTTATATTGCATGCAAGTTCACACAGTAAATAATATATTAGTGTGACCTGGTTCCATATTAACTTGCAGGAACTTATATTTCCTTCAGTGTTTACAGGACTTAAGGAACATGGAACTTCAAAAAAATAACACAAAATACAGCATCATATTATACCATAGCCCACACTCCCACACCTATGATGTTCAATACAACACATTGTGTATGGCATGCCACATCTCAGAACACACCATCTATATAACACATCTATATAACTCCCACTGTGTCACATGCCACCTTGACTATCACACCCCATAACCTCTATCATCCTCACACACCACACTGCACCACAGAGAATAGCACACACTGCACTACCATCCACAACAGACCACATTGCCCAGCCACACAACACACCCTGCCACTTCCAACCCGCATCCCACAGTAGCCGTCACAACATACCACACACCACATCAACCCACCCCACACCAAACACACAAACGTAAATCATTCAAATGCTGTGCGCTTGGCACTGGCTCAACATTAAGCCAAAAACAAAAGGAAATATTGACCTTCAAGGCTATCTCATTCTTCTACTGCTTCATACTAGAATACTGACCTAAATAAAAATTAGTGTGGACCTCAGGGACAGATTTTTATGTCCATACTTATAAAATACATGAACACTTAGAATGAAAACTGTAGTTATGTAAACAAGCTAGAAAACTGCAATGGGAGAGGAAAAAAATTAAGCTGAATCCTGATCATTTGTCGGTGATCAGAGTGACTTTTAAGATCATGTGTTCATTCATCCCCCAGTCACTCTTCTCAGACCAGAGAGTATTTATCCAATATATTGTAAATATATTACTTTGCTTGTCTTGTTTTCCAATCCACTTGATGAGGACAGCAATCAAATGTTTTGCCCAGAATTTTTTCCAGCACTTGACACACAGTAGGCATTCACATAGTTTTTATTGATTCACAACCTTGAGGAGAGGGATTAACTTGTTATTGAAGTTATAAAAATATAATTTTGAGATGTATCTATTCTAAATTAAATAATATTGTTAGGGATTTTCAAGCCTCTTTCAAGCCTTTTTCAAGCCTTTGCTCACTCATTTATTTTCATCCCCTTCAAATTTCATGGGAAATTTTAGGGCATTCAGTTTCAAACAGAGTTGTGTAACAGATTTCAAATCAAATAAAAGTAGCTTTCTCTGTGATTTAAAAATGGATAAGTTTCTAATCAATTATGCATATAGTTCACTTGGCTTGTCCTTCATAGTGTAGAATTTCTAATGGTGTTTAAAGTTGGGAAAACCATGAACAGCCTCTCTACCATATGCTATCGTTTTCTTTAATTACAGTCCTATTTGGTTTCTTAATGAAGTAAAAATAAAATCCAATATATAAATGTTATGACATTTAGGGATATCTAATTCATGTTCTCATCCTGTGATTGATTTTCTTAATGAAGAATTAGAGTGGGTTAAGTCCTTTAAAACCAAATATATTCTAACCTACCTCAACATATCAGTTTCCAAATAATTGTATTTATATTTTCAAAGCCATTCAAATATAGCATCTTACAGCTCCTATGAGGCCTAAGCACAGGTATCTTCATGAAAAGGCAATCAATGTAATTTATCATGCACTTGAATTTGAAAAAAGTCCAGTCCAAACTGCACATTAACTCTAAAGGCAACTATACCAATATTTTTTTCTGTCACCTCATTCTATTCGTCTTTATGAGTCAGTGAATGGAAAAATGAGATACTAGATATTACAAATAAAGTATCTCTAATAAATTGCAAGATTTGAAGTTTACATTTCCTAGTATTAAACAGTGATTATAATTATTTTAGTTTGAGTAATGATATATCAGACTAGGTTTTTGAAATTTTGCACTTAAGAACATTTCAAAGAACCATAGTTTGAGAATATCTGAATACATGAGATGAAGATGAAGTAAATCACTTTTTTGTTTTGTTCCTCTTGATGTAACTTTTAAAAATCTCCCTGAGAATGGCAAGTGAAACTGACTAGCATACATGTTTTTACTTCAATATATTATGTCATAATACACATGTCAATAGAAGTATTGCACAGAATTCTACAATTTTTCCCTGTGATTCATGTCCTTGTATAGCCTCTTCTATTGAAAGTGGGAGGTATATCACAGAATATGATTAGGTTGTATTATATGGCACGATTGACTTTTAAAAAAGGATATGATCCTCCCTGGATCTGACCTAATCAGATGAGTCCTAAAAATAGACAAGGTTCTTCCTGGAAAAAAAAGATTTAAAACACATGAGGGAAAACTGAAAGAGTCTCTGTTGGTGGCTTTGAAGGTGGAGGCAGCCACATGGAAAGTTAACCCAAATGTACCAAATCCTAAAAGAAAGAATAAAAACTATAAAATTTTTTAAATACTACAAAAAATAAAAAATAATACATGGGAGAAAAATATCTATAATTGGGCTTATGCAAAACTCTTTTAGACACAACATGAGAACACCATTTATAAATGATAAAATGAATAAATTGGACTTTATCAAAATTTAAGACTTTTATGTTTTAAAAGATACCAACTAGATAATCTAAAAACAGGAATCAGATTAGTAGAAATTATTTGCAAGACAAATATCTCATAAAAGACTTGTATCAAAAACTACAAAGAATTCTTAAAACCAGGAAATATGAAAACCTGATTAAAAATGAAAAAAAGTTGTAGAATTGATATTTTACCCCCAAAAAGACAGATTATGATTAATAAGCATTATGTTAAGTGGAAAATGTCAGACATAAAGACAATACATTATACATTTCCATTTATAGGAAATGTTTCCACACATAGGAAATATCTAGAAAAGGAAAATCTATAGAGACATAAGCAGATTTTTGTTTGCCTAGCACTTGGAGTAGAAACAGAAATTGACTCCAAATGGACACAAGGAAACTTTGGGGGGGAGATGGAAATATGCAATTATGAAACTATCTGCAAAACTCTGTAAATCTGGCAAAAAAAATATATTGTGCACTTAAAATGGGTAAAGTTTATGGTATGTTAATTTATTGTTGCTGTTCAGTCACTAAGTCATATCCGACTCTTCATGACCCTGTCGACTTCAGCACACCAGGCTCCTCTGTCCTCCACTATCTCCCAAAGTTTGCTCAAATTCATGTCCACTGAGTCAGTAATGCCATCTGTTTCCTCCTCTGCTGCTCCCTTCTCCGTTTGCCTTCAATGTGAATTATACCTCAATAATACTGCTTCAAAAAAAGTAACCACACAGGTAGTGGATATTACACAAACAGTAACTTGCAAACGTTAGCATTTCTGTCTCCACAACCAAGGCCATGCTACACAGTTTCTGTAAATATACCAAGGTCCATGAGATGTACTTTTGGCCTTGGAGTCTCTAAAGTGTTTTCCTGTAGCTGAAGCTTTTTGCATTTCTTTTGCTTGTCACAATTACCAACACAGGATATGTAGATGAAAGCGTACTGAACTTGTGGGTCACAGTGTTAACAATACTATTTAGGGGTATGGTGCACATGCTTAAAGACTGATTCCTGGCTAATAGCCTGGGGTGGGAGGAGAACAATTACATATTGAATTAGACTGAAAGCAAAACCTTTATTATTAATACAGGCAGAAATTTATATTGACAATCATGCCAATGAAAGGAGTCAGTTGAGATAAGTTCATTGATCCAAAGTACAACATGATTTTTTGCAAATACATTTATATATTTGCAAAGAAAGAAATCTGAAGTATTTCCTTCTCTTGAGGGATACTATTAATAATAAATATTGTTAGTAGCCTATCAACAGAAGTATCAATTAGACATACCTTAGAGAATTTGCTAGAAGTTTCTCTTTGCCTCTGACATTAAGCAGGCAAACTCTGACTATTCTGCTTCTAGCTTATGCTGAAAATACAAATTAGGTCTGATTGAATAACAGTAAATTGGAAAGCTTAGTTTATAGCTTTCAAAATCATATTTAGCCCTGTTAATGTGTCCCTAGGGCAAATTCCCTTCAGGGTATATTAAATTTATATGGTATTAAATAATGACTTGTGAATTGCAAGCTATGAGTATTAGCAATAGAGAAAAAAAGTAGACATAATATTGAAATCACATTACATGAGATGTGTTTCCTGTATTTTCAGAAACTAGTATCATTTTTTTCTTGATTCCATGGGTAATGAAACAGTTGAATACTTATAAACAAACTGCTATGTTTATCTGAAAACCTGCTCTTTAAAAATAGAAATTCCTATAGGACATGTGTTTTTTCAGTTTTTTCATTTTAATATTTTCCTTTAAATCAACTCATATTAATAACAAAAACACAATAAACTAAAATATCATGTATAATAATTGACACCAGAACATTAAGCTGAATTAGAATTACTATATCTCACTAACAGTAGGTTTCAAATGTACACTGGTTTGGTTAAAGATAAAATTTTGTTTCCTACTTCAAAATAAAGCAATTTTGAAAAAAAAATGTAGTGCATAATTACACCTCACAATTGATAAACTTGATAAAAAATGTTACAGACCACATAAAATTCGGCTGATAGTATAGGATAGCAAAATGTAGAAAAGAGTAAAATATATTAGACATCTATTATGTTGTTAAATGACAATAAGTTGTCTGGAGTCTAGAACTAGGACTTTGTTTCAAAAACAATTTCTCTTGAAATGATGTGTAAATGTATTATATAAAGCAAGAACTTCATCTTTCTTTATCTTCTCTTCTATGTCTGAAGTAACACCTTTTTCAAAGATTTTTATTTTCAAGTTCTTTATGTGGATATGAATTAGATCTATTAAAGTATTAAATACAAAAGATTAGACTACTGAGCAATTATTTTCTCACTCCTCATTTGATCTGGCCTTTGTTACAGGCAAATAGCAAAATTACTCTGACTGTATCTCTCAATATTGGTCTCCTGATTATATGCAATGGCTAAACCAAAATGTTTTGCTTTAACAGGGGGAACCATTTCCTTCTGCATGACAACAAACTATAATTTGTGAGCAGATAAACCATGGAAGAAACTATTGGGGACATTTGTTAGAAACTGGTGATAAAACCCTCCTGTAGCACTATTGGCCTCAGAACTGAAGTATCCTTGAAATATATACTCATACTCAATAATAAAAGTATACAGGATAAGTATGGTTCTTGACCTAAAATTTGCTAAGCAGGCTATAGACAAGTATTGTGCATTCAGCATAATTGATGCTCTTGCTGCTGCCACTGTTCTAAATTGCAATTACAAGACCTATAAAACAGAGAGACTTACTGATGTTGAAATTATTCTTCAGCTCAAAAATTTTTTTTAATTTAATTCATTCCATTTTAAACACAGTCAGAAATTAGGGGGGAGGAGCCAAGATGGCGGAGGAATAGGATGGGGAGACCACTTTCTCCCCTACAAATTCATCGAAAGAACATTTGAACGCTGAGCAAATTTCACAAAACAACTTCTGATCGCTAGCAGAGGACATCAGGCGCCCAGAAAAGCAGCCCATTGTCTTCAAAGGGAGGTAGAACAAAATATAAAAGATAAAAAGGAGACAGAAGAGCTACGGACGGACACCCGTCCCAGGAAGGGAGTCTTAATAGAGGAAGTTTCCAATCACCAGGAAACCCTCGCACTGGCGGGACTGGGGGACGTTTTCGGCAATCTAACTGGGAGGAAAAATTAAATTAACACAGTCAAAAATTAAACAGACATAAACCAGAAGTTTGAAAAACAGGGAAGGGTTGATGAAAACTTTCATGAGTCACAGAACACCTGCATCTCACAGATTTAACTATAAGAACTTAAAAACTACATGTTTATATATTTGTTTAATACATAATTTTGTAGAATTACTGCTACACGTAAATAAATAAGAACTCCAGTTTGGAAAATGGCCAACCTCAGAACAACCTTCTAATTAGAACAATTAGAAAACTGCAAGAAAAAAGTTAACAAATTATGTGTGAAGGCATCAAAGAATTAAGGAGATAATAAAAAAAAAATTAAAGGGTGAAAGCCCAGCATAAGAAACTCAGTGAGATAAACCCAAAATTAAAGTCCATATTTATCATAGAAATTGATGTTGACTTTAGAAGTGCCTAAAAACAAGACTTTTGACAGATTTACAAGTTTAGGAGTATGAAAAAACAATTAAGGAACTCCCAAATGGAGAAAAGCTTGGTAAATCACAAAGGCTTATCCAATAAGCAAAGGATATTAAAAAATAGAGACACTCCTTTGCCAACAAAGGTCCATCTAGCCAAAGCTATGGTTTTTGCAGTAGTCATGTATGAATGTGAAAGAAAGTTGAGCACCAAAGAATTGATGCTTTTGAACTGTGGTGTTGGAGAAGACTCTTGAGAGTCCCTTGAACTGCAAGGAGGTCCAACCAGTCCATCCTAAAGGAGATCAGTCCTGGGTGTTCATTGGAAGGACTGATGCTGAAGCTGAAACTCCAATACTTTGGCCACCTGATGCAAAGAACTGACTCATTGGAAAAGACCCTGATGCTGGGAAAGATTGAGGGCAGGAGGAGAAGGGGATGACAGAGGATGAGATGATTGGATGGCATCACCAACTTGATAGACATGACTTTAAACAAGGTCTAGGAGTTGATGATGAACAGGGAGGCCTGGTGTGCTGCACGCAGTTCATGGGGTAGTAAAGAGTCAGACACGACTGAGCAACTGAACTGAACTGAACTGAAGCTAGAGATATATCAGCCTTCATTAGATCAACGATTTCTTGTGACCCTACCTTTCATTCAAAGCAAACTTAAAACCTCTCTGGAGAAAGAGTATATTTTTCTAGGGTGCAAATTAATTTGACAACTTCTTATTCACAATATACATCACTGGATGTTTTGCGTGTGTGTGTCCAAAGTACTTCAATCATGCCTGACTCTTTGACACAATATGGATAGTAGCTGGCCAGGCTCCTCCATCCATGGGATTCTCCAGGAAAGAATACAGAGTGGGTTGCCATGCCCTTCTCCTGGGGATCTTCCCGACCCAAGGATCAAACTCGACTGAATATTTTAAAAAGTCAGTATTAGCAGATGATTCATTTCAGTTCAGTTCAGTTTAGTCACTCAGTCCTGTCTGACTCTTTGCGACCCCATGAATCACAGCACGCCAGGCCTCCCTGTTCATCACCAACTCCTGGAGTTTACTCAAACTCATGCCCATCTTGTTGGTGATGCCGTCCAGTCATCTCACCCTCTGTCGTCCCCTTCTCCTCCTGCCCCCAATCACTCCCAGTATCAGGGTCCTTTCCAATGAGTCAACTCTTCGCATGAGGTGGCCAAAGTATTGGAGTTTCAGCTTCAGCATCAGTCCTTCCAATGAACACCCAGGACTGATCTCCTTTAGGATGGACTGGTT